AAAAAATTTTTTCCTTCCATCATATACAAATTATATGTATATGTAAATGAAATCCTTTAAATCTATAATATTAGATATATACGAGGGGTTATCAAAAAGTTCGTGGACTAGCGCCATAAAATTAAAACCGCATTAGGTACATCGATGAATTTTAAAATATCTGGTTAGCATCCTCTTTTCTATGTATAGAATAAACCGCAAATCATAAATTTTATTCTTTAATAAATTAGTAATGTTTTTGTAAGCTATGGTATGTCCAGGCGGCGCAACCTCGAATAGACGTTTTTTCGACAAAGTGTAACTGAAAAAACTCTTTTGGTCCTAAACATTTGACATCCAAAAATCTCGTTAATTCATGTATATGTTGGGACACTATTGCTTCATAAAATATGAAATTTTCACCTAATTCTGAAAGTTTTATGAAAATTTATCGTAAATTTGACATGGAATGTCCAAACAAATAAGTCCTTGAAATTGACGTCAAAAGGGGGAGGGGTTTCATTTTCCAACATTCTATAAAGTTTTGGCTCTGAAAAAAGTGGTATAGACCTAGGAAATGTTTAAACTGGCTATGGAAAAATTAAATGCATCCAGAGAATTTGTTTTTTAATGCCAAAAGAGATTCAGAGAGAAAAGGGATGCACAGATAATGTCGATTTGTAGTCAAGGTGTGAAAATCAATAGTCAAAAAATGACGTTGATCATATGTTGTAGATATTAAACTCCCAAAAGCAAAATATGCTGGCACAGTCGAGGAGGATCTCTCTGAATGTATAAATTCATTTGCAATATTGTATACATTTAAAGCCGCTGTTCCTACATCGTAAGTCATATAAATAAGATGGGTTTAAGTCCTTACTCAACTTCAGGGAATCTCATCAAATTAAGTGTATGAGGTAGAAGAAGCGGACATTGAAAAACAATGACGTTGTCAGACGTCATGAAACTAAACGGCGACGGCGCCGGGTAATCATATAATGTCGTTTTTATTTTATCATATTTAAGCAAATAATGAACGAATCAAGCTAAAATTTTCAACATTTCTTTATTTTTTGTTGTTTTATGTCCCTTATAAATTTTGAAAGTACAGACTACATAGTACTAATTTTATAGCCTCAGTCCACGAACTTTTTGATAACCCCTCGTACATGTATATTAAATATATATCTTGATCTTCAGTTACATACCTCTCTAAGAAGTGAACACACTGGTGTAGTCAGTGAACAAATGAATGTTTTGAACTGATGATCACTGGATTTAACTGTCTCCACGATCTGTTCAAATGTGGCAAAATTTATAGACACTTCGGCAAGAAGAAATTTATTCAGGTTCTGCATACAAACAGTGAAGTTTACTAAGGATGGTTTAACTCAAGATCTTGTCATTTACTCTGTTAAGAAACTCTTCCTCTAGGTACACCTGGAGAATCCCCAGACAGGCAGGACAGGGGACGGAGGTAAAGAGATCCTCCTGGCCATCTGTCAGTGATATCACTTTCTGGGCCAATTCCCAGGAGGGTTCCATAACATGCAGTTTATATCATTACCAGAAAACCTGCACTATTTAAACTTACTAGTACCTTGGTTTTTTTCTGATTAGTGTTAGTATATCTAGAAACAAAATTTATATCACTTGATTGATTAAATGTGTTCTTTGATACATACAAGAAGATGCTCTTCTTGTCCGATTTGTCTCAAGAAAATTTAATTTGAATAATGCCAAGCTTGCTCTTCAAAAAATAAAAACACTGGTGATCAAACATTACAAAGGTGTTATTTATAAGCAAGACAGAATTGCTTGTCAAACAAATGTTCTGGTAGTATGAATCCCAAAATACATTTCTAATAGTTTTTTTCGTTTAAATTCAGATAGATACTTGACAATGGATCAACTCAAAGTACTTGATCTGTTCCATCAAGCTGTAAGTACAGGTCAGATCCAGATTTTTTAGCATATCTTGCATTACTTTGGTCCAATTAGGGCTTAACGTCTTTTGTGAATAAAAATGCTCCAAATTCTAGTTTATTCACTCATGTGGAAAATGTATGTTAGATCCAGCACCCGAAGAAATGTGGTGGTGTGTATTAGCTCTATTATGTGATTGGGTAGGTAGAGTTCTCCATAGTCATTTCAATAATAAAAATATTTGTATCAAAGTGTCAGTCAACACTAGATACAAAAACTTGAAATGTATCAACAAAGGGATTTGCAAAATGTCGACTTTAAACTAGATCGTTTATACCCATGCAACATCACCTAGTTTTTCAATAATCTGCCTCAGTTTAGATATTGACAGTACTCTGAACAAAACTTAGTATATTGAATCAATTGGGAGACATTTATCACCATATGCAGTTGATAAATGGTGCTATATTGCTACATAATTAAGAGAGTGGTGAAAGTCATTCGGTTCCTTGAATGTGAATGAACAATGTTTGCAAGCTTCAGGCATACAAACTTCTCTTTAAGAAAGAAAACACAAGGATTGAACTGGGGTATAAATTTTATTTTGTCTAGGATACAGAAATCTGTCAGCTTTCTTCTAAGCTTGGAGGCCAATCCAGCTCAACACTCTATGAAATATTAAAATAACAAGAATATAACAGCAGTTTGCTTTAATTTTTTTAACAAATCTGTGAATAAAAACTCTCATTCAAGTCATACTCCAATCACCCTTCACTCATTGGTATGTAATGAGTTATTAACGTACCTATATCAAAGACTATTTTATATGTCAAAATCTTATTGTTTTTTATCAATATCGAGTAATTGTTTTAAACGAAAAATAAAAAGTTAGAAATGTCTGGTATTTATCTCATATAAAATTTTGAAATCATACTTGGATTATTCTTATCTCAAAAACACCATCTAACAAAACAATTGAATAAACAATACTTTGTGATATTTTGACGATTTATAGCCTTGAGGTTTGGATAAAGAAGTTTTATTTTGGGTTAATGCATATTTTTTTTTCCTTTCTGCAAACCATAATTTTCCTTGCTCCAATTGAACTAATTGGAACAAATTTTGAATCTGCCTTACATGTACTTAGAATATTATGGTTTTTCCAAAAACACTCAGTTTCATCTCTTCTATAGACACACCTAATCCAAGTTTAATCATATACCTCACAGTTTACCTCTAGACTACTTCTCTATCCTTGTTAAGATCAAACTCACCTGTACATCCAGTTCCAGAATATCACACTCAGTTCCAGAATATCACACTCCACTCCAGTCAAGGTTCCAAGGTTTGGTGTGGTTCTCCCGAAATCTCCGTGAACAAACTCTTTGATGTAGCTTATGTATAGTTAAGGTTCATATATATTCAACACACCCGCATCAAGCTTTAAAAACCCCATAATGCATGCTTAATACACATACGTGTATAAACATTTCAAACTTGATTCTATATAGAAATGTCCTATGTTCCTGATACCCTATAATTTTTGAATTTCTTTTTTATTAAAGGAGTCTAGAAATATCCAAATTCCTCATTTGATTTTTTATAAATACACGACCATACAAGGATACGTGCCAGCCTGTGTTGAGAGACTCAAGGTGAAATGAAGGTCATCTATTTTTTCCGCTGACATACTGTACACGATTCTCTCCCTTGTCGCCAGAGGGCGTCGGTGTAGCACTCGAATTGGAGTCTTTTGATAAATGACAAGATCCTGAAAGTAGAATACAAAGCAAATCACATCATTATATGACATTTATTCAATGATTATTTAAGTATAAATAACACAAACTTTTTTCAGAAATCCGTAATATTTCTCATAGATTTACTTAAGTGTTGAATTCATATTTTTAGATGTCTTCGGTCCTATAACACACCTGGCCGTGCCGACAAATTGAATACCGCGCGTTAGCGTTTTATTGTAGGTACAATAAAATAATTTAGGGCATTAGAGTAAGAAGATCTAATTATTCTTTAAAACATTTTGTCACTATTTTTGTACATAATATAAAATGCCAGGAAATTTAAAATAATCTCTCAATAAATAGTTTATTTTGATATTTCATACTGCTTCACTTAACAGGTTTTATATCAGGACCAGTCCATAATATATTCATGTAAACCTGGCACCAAAGACGTTAAGTCTTTATAAATTTAAGGACACTTTATTTTTCATTTTACGAATTTTGACACTTACATATATCTTATATATATATAAATCACTGACCAATCCAACACACTACCTTGACTTCCTGAAGTTTGTTAAGTTGTTCTTCGGAGAGAGATTCTTTAGACCAGCACAGGGCAATATACGTCTTTGTTTTCTCTATTTCACCTTCCTTCAGTTTATCTACATCTTTTCTTTGATGAAAAGTAAAAACAAGTACAGAATTTACACATGAAGGAAAAATAATCTCTTACATTTCAGCATCAACGTTAATCAAAACTGTTTTTTTTAACTCAAATACTCTCATTTGTTGTCTTCATGAAAACAATTTTCAAGAAATACAATACTTTAATGCAAAAATTTTTTATCATACATTGCAATGAAATATTTGAAAGAAATTGCATTTGATTTTATCATAACAATTTTTCAAGAAAATAATTGTTATTTATCTTCCTCTTATCAA